AATTCTGTTTGGATGCCCAAAAGTGGGTTTTGGTAGAAAAAATTTGTATGTGAAAATCATAATCCTTCACTTGATGAACCTCTTACAACATCAGTATTGAGTTTAGAAAAACAGAAGGCATCTGATTTTGTTTAGTTTTTGATGGTCTTTCGAATGAGACATTACTCGACCAGAACGGATAAAAAATGATGGAGTTATATCGAAAATATGAGACAATACTCGTTTTTGCAATTCTTCGATGCACCTCATTTTGAAAACTCTGTAACTCGGTCAAAATAAAGTCTGGAAGTGAACAATTTTTTCCTCACCCCAATTTTGGTTGTAGAATCTGAAATACCAAATAAAAATCATATGTCAAATTTTTGCATGCTACGCGTGTTTCGCAAAATACTGGCTTTCTCGCGAATCGCCTCTTAAGTAAGGTGACAAAAAGGTTTTTTTATAAGGTCACTGAGTGAAAACGTATGTTGTATGTAAAACAGGAAAGCTTCCATAATATCTAAGATTGGGAGCAGAGAGGAGGAGCATAAGACATGAAAGTAAGCCACCGCATAACATTTCCAAGGGACGGCATTTGCTTATAGTAGGAAGTTGATTTGTAAGATGTAAAGTTTTAGTCCATCTGGGGGTTTTTCAACGTCTAAATGTCAGTTTTCTTTTCTTTTTATTAAAAAAATGAAAAAGGAGGAAAATCCAAGGGGAAAACAGCTGAATTTTGGATTTTTCCGATTTTCGTCGAGTTTTTAGGAATCACACATAGTGGAATTTAAAAAAAGCGGCAGAAGAAATCTTAATGTTATTTTTTGCTTATTTGCATTACACGAGATAAACGATCAGCACACAGCTTTGAATTCTCTTCTGTTAAGAAATAACACAAATTGTTAGTGATTTTTTGAGATTTTCACCGATTCTTGGCGATTTTCGATTTAAACCGATCTTTTAAGCTCAAAAGTCAGCTGTTTCCCTTGGGCCGTTTTTTCGCGTCTCAAAATAGCGAGGTGATGTTGAGTTATTATTAAAACAAAATCGTACGAATAATTTTCGAAAATATGACATCAGTGTCAAAATCCAATTGGAAATATTTTATCGATTTCACATTATATACTCGGAAACAGACACTTCGATTGTCTTTCAAACGTTTGAGAACGTCTTCTCGTTCAATTGCAGTTCCAAGTTTATCAATAATCGAAATATTCATTGGTAATCAGACCGATCTCAATTCAACAAACAAACTCAAAAAACAAGAAGACTGTCTCAGATCAATCTCTTATTCTTCTTCAACAGGTAATAAGAAAACATGGCTAATATGCACTCTCGATCTACGCGCCTTCTTAAAAGAGAAGCAGACGACCTACATTAGGCGCTGGACAGTTCCATATCAGTTCCGATCTTGGGAACTGTCTGAACAGTCCTTTGAAAGGAACTGCTCTGTGCAAACAGTTCTTTTTTAGGAACTGATCTATTGAGAAACGTTTTCTGAATAGTCCATTCGTGTGGAGTAAACATTTCTGAACAAAACTGGATGTGATCGAACTCTCCACAACATTTTTTCATCGAACTGCATTCAATTTACGAAAGGTTCCTCGGTCGTTTTCACTAACATTTTTGCTCTTTTTCTAGAGATTTTGCTAATTTTGACCTGGAGGGACCTTTCGTAAATTGGATGCAGTTCGATGAAAAAAACGTTGTGGAGAGTTTGACGACATCTAGTTTTGTTCAGAAACGTTTACTCTACACGAATGGGCTATTCAGAAAAAGTTTCGTTGGAATCGTGGGACTTGATCTTTTTGGGTTTTCTAAAAATTCTTGGGTTCTTGATTTTCCAGGGACTTGGTTTGCAGGAATTAAATGAAATTTTCATATACACCTCATCTCATTATAAACTCTTGTAGTTGTTCAAATCATTTTTTACATTTGTTCTAGCTATTATGGTCGACGAGAAAAATTAAAAATAAAGGTGAACGCTCAATTTTGGCCGCTACTGTGGCGGAAGCTGAAAATTGAATGTAAGACCAGTAATTTCCAGAGTTTGCATGTCTTGAAGAGAGCCTTATTCTGCTTGAATCTGGTGCGGCACATGTCTGCATTATGTATATAGCATGGTTTGTTAAATCAGTAGTTGAACAATGCTCTTCTGTATAACTACGATCTTGGTCTATTTGAAACACTCCTAAAACGCTGTATTATTCAGTTACCGTATTATATGAGAGCTCAGAGGGAATGGTGGGAATTATGTTCCTAAAGTCAAACTTCGAACTTGATCTAACGTTAAAATTGGAGCTTTTAAGAGATTAGTGTTTATCCATCTATACTGATTATTATCTACTCGTATACGAATTCGATTTTTTTGATTTCAATACCTAATAATCGATCTGGCAATTGTATTGTCATCATCTGCACTGTAAAAAATAGTTGTAGATTAATAAACTATCAAAAAGGGTTTATTGAGACCAATAAACCTTTTAAAAAACGCTTTTCCGTTTTTTATATCCAAAAAACTAAAGAGCGTTCGTGACAGATGCAAAATGAAAAACGGGCGGATTTTTATCAAAAATAAAAAACCCTTTTCAGTTTTTTGTCGTGTCTAAAAAACTGAAGAGATTTTTAGCTGGTATTTTAAACTCGACAGAAAACTGAAAAGGATTTTTATTTTTGATAAAAAGCCGCCCGTTTTGATTTTACATCTGTCACGAACGTTTTTTAGGTTTTTGGATATAAAAAACGGAAAAGCGTTTTTTAAAAGTTTATTGCTCTCAATAAACCCATTTTGATAGTTTATTAATCTACAACTATTTTTTACAGTGTGGCGGTTGGATCACTGGACCATGATATGCATTTATCAAAGCACATCCGATCTGCAAATAATCTTGTATTTGCCCTATTAGAGAATTCCGTATGGTCTTATTCAACATATCAAACTGTTGGAGTCACACATTTTCACTTTCCACAATCCATCTAATTTTTGTTATCTTACGTAACTTGTTAGCTTCTACCGTATCAAACCGCCGCCTCCTATCGAGAAACACCGGCATACACACATCAAATCCCAAACTTTGCATCATTCCCATCCAATCACGGAACCCTTTATCAATCACCATTATGTCATTTTGATCTAACCAATTCAAAATGTTTTTCTTGTTTTTTAAGAGAATGTCTTTAGCAATCGAAGCATCATTGTTTTTATTATCTGCTAAGTACGGTGCAAATACTGAAACGATATATCCCATGGTTGTAACAACTAGCATGGGCTTAAGAAGGGATCGAGTTTTCAAAAAAGAGATGCGCTTTATGGATTTTACGATATTGCATTCAGTTCGTTGAGCCAGATGGGGAATATCGCTTAGAAATTGAAACATTGATTTGGTTTTTGTCCAATGAATGAGATACATTTCTCAAACAAATATAAAAGCGAAAAATTTATATTGCGAGGATCATACGACAGTAAACACTAGTAGAAAATGTCTTATTAAATAAAACTAGTTTTAGAAAAGAAAGTCACCAATGTTTTATATCCTGAGATCGATGTTTGTTAGAAAAAAATCTTATATTGAGTCATTATGCAACGAAAAGCAAAAAGTACAAACAAAATGAGCGTAAATTTCGAAAATAAATAAAATGTTTAGTCTTTCGAATAAAAAATTTGATTTGTCTACATGATTAGTTCAATGTATATAATGAAAACATATATCCTAAAAAAAAAGGAAAGTGAACTGTTTTATTATCATGTGCTCTACTTGCACCAATGCCACCTAATGAGCAACAAACTAATACTTGGTTTGAATTTCTGCAGTTCAGGTGACATAGGAATTATATTCACTCCATGCTCTATCAAAAAAAAAAAACGAACAATTTCTAATCGAATTCTTTAAAAAGAGAGAAAAGAACAATTGAGTTTCAACATATAATAATAGTAGGAATACAAACAAGTTTTTTATCGATATGCTAATGTCTTTTGATTGTCAATATACAACGAAAATTGAAAATACGAAAAAATATAGTTTAATTTCCATTTTAACTATTCTCTTTAGATGTCGATTACGAAACGAAAACTTTCCAAGTGTGATCACATAGAAAGCGCATTTTTTTCAATAATATAACATTCGATCTCATTTCTGATTGTTTATGTTTAGAGATGAAACCTAAAAAAATCTAAATTAGTTACCTTTTGTTTCTATTCACTAACTCGATTAAATTGTTCAAATAAAAAACAAAATTGATGTATGTAGACATATACTTGTCGCAATGGACAGAGATAATAAGAAAATGAAATTAAAATGCTGATTTTTTTTTTTTGAATAATATTTCTTTGAAAAACAGTTTGTTTAAACATTGAGAGAGATGTGCTATTTTTTTAAACTGAAATAAATAATTACAGTTTTGACTTTTTATGATTTCAAAATAAAACAAAAAAAGATGATGATGATGATTTAAAATCGATAATAGTATATACGTTGAATGAAAAAGAATTGACTGGTTAGTCATAGCATTTTAGCAAAAGAGAAACTTAAAATAGTACGTGCTATTGTCTGTGATTCTACGTGGAGCCAATTTCTGTTCAAATTTGAGCGAAGAAACAATAGAGTAGCAATACATTATAATATCATGATCCCAACCGATACAATCGTGCAATAAACTAATATTTCAATAAAGTTTAAATATAACCGTCGGATAATGTACAAACAATTGTATCATTTCCAAAAGTATCTCATAGACATTGGCATGAGATTCTATCGTTTTCTCTGTATCAAATCTTGACAGCATGCTAATATAACATCGATGACATCACACAGGAGCGTAATATCTCAAATTCATTTTCTTTCAGTAGATGAAATCCTATAACTGCTTCGATGTGCCTTATGAAATAAACTTATCAGAAATATTATATTTTACAAGCAAGCTCTTATATCTTAGATAAATGTATACAATACAATGCTGTTCTAATATGGCTTAAACAAAAACAAAATAAAACAAAAAAAAAAAAAGTAAAATAAAATGATGATTTATTTTTGTTGATTTGATGATACTTCTCTGCTTAAAGGTATTCCCGTTGTTGAGATTGGTTGTGATAAACGACTGCATACTAATGCTCGTTGTGTATAAAAAGCGTCTGTATTCAAATATGGACTATACCATAATGGACCATGTTGTAATAAACGATGAACGGATGCTATATTTCCTTGTTCAAGAAATTCTAGGCTAACCGCTGCTTGACGTTTCCATTTTGTTCTAGAAAAAAATTCACAACAAACATTTATTATTTTATCTTCATTACGAACAGTATGAGATTGTATACCTTCTATTTTGATACCATGTTTTAACTTGTGTATCTGATAAATTTAATCGGGATGCTAGTTCCATACGTTCTTGAACACTCAAATATTTTTGTCTTTCAAAATTTTTCTCTAGACAATTCAATTGTTGATCAGTGAAAGCTGTTCGCGCTTTACGTGGTTTTTTAGTTTTAATCGATCCATCAGAGGCACTTGTTCCTCCCAAATCGGATTCTAAAAATAACAAAAATAAAAAATATTTACTTTCGATATGATACGTTGGATGTTGATAAAAAAGTAAAAAAATTTTAAGTCTAAAATTACACGAATTTAGGAAAAATTCATCGAATTGCTGTCTGTGGTAGCGGCCTTCCTACGTACATGTCCATATTACTTCTGACTACTTAAAATGGATAAAAATTTTCTCTCCAAGAAAAGGAAAAAATCATTATTGAATTAAAACAATTTTTTAATTACCGCTATCACTATCGTCATTATTTTCACTATCATCTCTATTGATTGTCATTGATGTCGATACATTATTACTGTTATTATTGCTAATATCATCCTGTTGACTGTTAATTGATGATGTATCATTACTCTCCTCCTTCAATATGTCTGTAATAAAAAATGAACAAAAACGTTTGGCTGGTATTGTTTTAATTTTTGGTGATCGAGGTCGAATCATTTTTGGATATAATGAAATATAGTCTAATTTTTGTGAAAATGGAATACATTTAATTGGTGATGGTGATAATTTACGATAAAATTTCATATTTTTATCGTTGGATGATGAGGATGAACTATTTTGTTCAGACATAGTTTAATAATATAATTTTATACTTTCTTTATTTTGATTAATCGAAAAAAGAGAGAAACATTTATTTAACAACAATGACGACAGTTAATTATACAGTTTAACAATTCTGAATAGAACCAATAGAAAATAAAAATTCTAAAATGACAATTATTATTGGTCTATTTTTGTCGATTTGTTCGTTCTGTGACAATAAGAAATACATGAAATAAGTAAAGTAATTAGTAATTTTTTCCGTTCTGTTTTCTAAACGTTCTATTGACTTATATAAACTGAATTATTTTATTTATTTTCGCATAGAGAAAAAAAAAATCGAGAATTTGAGAGAGAGAAAGAAGAGAGAGAGAGAGAGTGAGAAAGAAAATAAAAGAATATTCACTGTTCCAACAAAATAATTGGGCGTGACAATTTTCTGTTGCTTTTTTTTTGTAGTTACTAATACAGTATGACATCGACTTAATTTAACTTTGATTGTAACATAAATCGATAGATTTTCATATGGATGTTGACTATGAATAATGTAGTAGCAAGTCTCACAATGGAAAAGAACATCAATATCATATAGATGTATTTAAAAAATAATTTTGACATTGTTGAATAAAAAATGAAATTATGAAATCTATTGAGAAGAAATTTAAATGAGTTTAGTTGTTGATTAAATCTAGCGATCACATGTAAAATAGTGATTTGTTCAATAGTATCCTCGTCTTGCATCACTTATTTCCTAGAAGCTAATTTAATTAATAAAATTGGATGAATGCTTAGCCATTGGATTAAAGACTTATTTTATTTATAGTTTTTGTTTTTTTTGACCATCCAAATTGTCTGAAAATTCATTGCCCTAGAATTAATTATTTCCTGCTCTAGCATGTATACAATAATCATCTAACTATCTGAAACTGTTTCTTTTGCCATCGATCAGAATCTAGCATGATTATTATTTATGTTTTCATTTCATTTCTCATTTTGTTACAAATGTGTTCGATTTACTCTTTGAAATTATTTCTTTTCTTTTTCTTATCCACAATAAACACGCACATACAACAAAAAAAAAACCAAAAAAAAAAAAAGATTGATGTCTTCTCCAAGTTTTTCTTTCTTTTTGAATATAGATTTTCCAATTGACTCTATTATAATATTTAGATAATAAAGCTGATGAAGTAGTGTTTTGCTTGAAAGAACAACTGTCGGATATATTTATCGGCAACAAACAACATAACCATGTCTCTTTTTCTTTCTGCTGTATTTCTTCTTCTTCTTCTTCTGTGTTCAACTACTATAGTAGTAAATGTGACAAGAATAGAGTGGCAGAAATATTAAAAGAACTTATATTTAACAGTACCAATGTGTAAATTAGATGAAAAGTGAAAGCGAGATAAACAGTGATGCACATCCAATGAACCATTACGTTTATCAATGAGATTCGCTTGTAAAAACAAATTAGACTTCATTTGACAAATATACAATCTGTTTAACGTTTTTTTCCATCATCTCTATTATAAATGAAACGACTGTTTAGTTGTATGGGGGTTGTTAGTTTTATATTTTATTTCTTTTTTCTTCTCTTTTTTTTTTTCGGAATACTAAGTATCTTCTTTAAGATGGTAGTTTAAATTATTTTCCCCTGATGATTTTAGTTTGATACTAATTGTTCATTCGGCTCATAAAAATACAAATAAAATCATCGTTTTAATGATAAAATGTGAGCACTGTTTATTGATCAGAATAAATATTTAAAACTTTCTGTTTTTCTTTCTTTTCCTCATTTTTTAAACACCAATGATGACTTAAAAATAGGAGGTCCTAAAAATAATGTTGATTATTAATCAATAGTACAAAAATGGAGAGTAATTTAGTTCGATTTTTTTAATCTATCAGTGATTTTAGTGTGGAAAATATCACTATGACTCAAAGTGTTTAAAAGTTTTAAGTTTATTATTGGTGTAAAAAAAAACCCCTCGTAAGTGATAACCTAATAAAACAATTAATTTTGTTTGAAATACATGAAATTTGTCACACACACTATAATATGTTTGAAAAAACTGTTGTTCTCAATTTATTATAGAGCCAAAAGGTGTCGGTTTCATTCTCTCTTCTTGTTGCTAATATAATTCATTTTTAATTTACGATTGATCTTTTTTTTATTTTACCTCTGTCTCCTGCTTTTCTAATGTCACACGATAGAGCTATAGACATATGTATATGTATATATATTATCTTTTTCCTCTTCTCATTTACTCGCTTATAGTCTAAAAGAAAGTGAGATGAGAAACACGTTTAATGACGATTAATAATAAGAAACGATGAATTTTTTGTCAATCATAAAGAAGAGAAATGTTATACATGTTACGGAAGTACAATGGTTGATTTGAGAAAATGACTCCTTCGGGATGAGAAAAAGGAAAAAAAAATTTCTATTTTTTATTTTTTATTTTTTTAAAAAGATATAATCAATTGATAAGAGCAAAAAGAACATGTTGACAGGTGCGATAATTGTTATTTATGAAAAAAAAAAATGTATATATATAAGACAAAATGGTGTGCAAAAAAAAGAAGAATAGGTTTTCTTTCTTTTTTTTTTATTTGTCTGGTGTACGTGTGCTAATGATTGACTTCCTTTTCACATGAGTTTTTAATTAATTCACTATTTAAATCAAATGATGGATGGATAGATCGATAGATGAATAGATGGTACAAAACGTTTTTCAAATTAAAAATGTCAAAATGTGTCTGCAACGGATATTACCTAGAGAAAATCAAAAAATTTTTGTTTCTTGTATCATAGTCATTTTGAGTTTTAATAGAAATCTATTTTTTTTTGACAAGAAAAAAATTTGTCTACAACAAAATGCTTCACTTAGTTTTAGATATGTAAAACAAAAAAAAAGAAAAGTAACAAAATAATATCACTCATTAATAGGAACTGAATGGATTCAAGTCTAATCATTTTGTTGTGATCTCATTTATCATCCAAACATGTTCGCGTGGTATTGTCGGCATTTTAGTCATGTGTTTTTTGGTTTTGTTTCACTGATTATAAACGAATCTTCCATACGTCAAATAAATTTTTGAGAACAAAATGCAATAGAGATCGATACTCATTATTGTTTTAAACAGATTAGACTATTTAGACACACATCATTTATATCATCTATCTCTAAATGAGAATATCGCGTGATTAAGAGAGAACAAAACAAAATAAAACAAAAAAAAAAAAAAAATAAAAAATCGTGTTAATTCGCTTTTCATAAATTATAATACTTAAACAAGCGAATGAAAGAGGACTCGTTTTTAAAATCATTGATTCGTCATTGCCGAAAGGCTTATCTATCTATATTCATTTGAATACTTTGAACTTTTAAATATTACAAAATAGACTATCAACTACACACACACACGAGTATTAAACAGATGCTATCGAAATATTAAACATGTTTTAGAAAATAGAGAGTATTAATGCAATACGATGATTTGTATCAATATGAATTATTTTTAATCGTTTAATTTTCGTTCTACTATGTCAAAAATATTCAAAAGATACCATTTGTAAAAAATAATAATATTTTTTCAGAGAGAAGAAGAGGAGGAGAAAGCGAGAATAATTTTACGCACGAGCACAATTTATAATATGAAAGAAAAAAGAAAAACTTAATTGAATCTAGATCGATTATGTAAATGTGACAGGTTTTTTGTATTCAATAGTAATTCATTATCAAGAAAATGTAAATAATAGTGTTTGAACACGGAGAGAGAGAAAAATAAAAGTATGTATTTATTGTACTTGAACAGGTATTGGCTTAATTATTCTATAATTAAAATAGTTTTAAAAATAATTCAATTTTAACATCACTAAATTTTGATATCATTATTAAAATAAAATTGATACTCTCTCTCTCTCCCTCTCAACTCATTGATTTAATACATCAACATTCACCACATTTACTTTCAATTGTGAATAGTCACCGACTTTAATAAAAATATGTTGATAATTCGATTATATTTGTATATACATTCATACTGTGCAAATAAAAACTTTGAGACAAAAGAAAGAAAGAATGAAAAAATGATTAGTTTATACAAGAGAAATATGAAGTCACATTTATTTTGAAAAGAAAATAACATATTTTTTTTGTTTTGTTTGGTTTTATTGTGCAATTAACTCATTTCAAATATATCTACAAGTTGATAAAAATGAATAACACAATTGTAGTGTGTGATATAGAAATTGAACTATCATTTATTTCTTGAAAAAACATCTTTCTTTTATAAATGAACAATCAAAAATTTTTGATATTAAATAGTTAGGACAGATGGGAGAAGATCATTCACAGTTCAAAAAATAGATCTCTAAAAGTTCTCTGTGTTGTGTCAATTTTTCAATAGTAAATGAATTTCTAGATAAATAGACAATGTTTCATTTTTATCTATTTGTCAAAATTTGAAGTTAATCCTCAGTAATCAATAAAACACAATTATTAATTAGTTTTTGATGTAGATCTGTTTATATATGCAAATAAGAGACATAAAATCTTCTCTCTTTTTTGTTTTTTCTCATCTTTAAAAAACATTTTCTCTATTTTCTAACCTTGTTTGATATTATTCTTATTCTTATTATTAATATCGTTGTTGTTGTTGTTGTCGGTTAGTTGCCTTCTTTCTTGTTTCTTTACCTAACGTGTTCATTTCAATGATATTCTGTATTTTATCTTAAATTCAATTACACTTTGATATGCACGATAATGATTGAGTCGAACTCGTGCTTGTTCAAGTGACCGATAGGTTTAAAAAAAAAAAAAAGAAGAAGAAAAAGAGAAAAAAAGAAAAAGGTGATGAAGTGAAATGATTAACCGGAAAATGACACAAATAGACAGAAAGATAATATTAAGTAGTTTATCCCCCTATAGATATAAATTATGTAAAAACAAATACAAATAACAAGATTAAATACGATGATGATGATAATTAACTGTGTGAAAAAACGATTTGAAAAATAATGATGTGATGAGAATATCCTATGTAGAAAAAAGTTATATTTGTCCACTCTTCATATCTACCGGATATTTAAATAAAATTTGCATCTTTTAGATAAAAAAAAAGAGTCATACATATCTGTTCAACTTAGAAAAATTAAAGTGAACTCTTCGAATTTCTCCGATAGATCGTATGAGAGTATATAATAAAATTGATCACTAAATCATTCTTATATCACTTAGTGTTAAAATGATGGATTTTTTTGTTTTTTTATTTATAATTTGTAAAAAAAAATGAACTATATATGAATAGAACATATGTTTTAATAGTTCATGTGTATGAATCGATGACAATTTTCTATCTATGTTATGTACTAAAGACTCTTTTTTTTTCTTTTTCTTAATGTCATCATTGTTTAAAAAAAAACTTCATCGTCATTTTAATCATATTTATTTTTTTGTATATACAAATGTTTTTTTTGTAATTGGAAAAATAATAAAATGTAAATGAGTAATAAATTTGTTTGGTGAATTAGACTAACTATAATTTGTGATGTCGTTTTTTTTATTTTTCCAATTTGTCACCTTTGATTATTATAAGAATAAGAATAAATGTAATCGAACAATTCGAGAAATAAAGATAAAAATAATAGTGTCATTGCAGATGGTAGATAATCAAATGCTCTATTGAGTTTTTTTTTGTTTCATTTCTTTGATTTGTTTTACTCCTACTAAATTAGAAACAAACGAATAAGAAGAAGAAGAAGTCTTGAAAATGCAAAAGCACAGTATTATTTTAATTTAACGATTTAATGCTTGAACTGGTTAGAAATAAAACACAAAAAAGACTAATCTTTAACCATTTGGTAGCAAATTTCGATTTATATAAATTAAAGTAATAAATTTGTTGCCTGTAAGTCACATAAATCATATTAAGATTTTTGTTTCATCTGATATTAATTCACACATTTATTCTATAAACAATAACGATAGTGGTAGGTGGTAATGGTGATGAAGCGCAAGATTTCTATTGCCAACATGCGAACTATTCATCAGTTAATCAAAAAAGAAAAAAAGGAACCCGAAAAACTTGTCATAATATGCCTCGAGATTATATTGTAAACTATTAAAGTAACACCATTTTTTCTAAAGACTAAAAAAAATGGAAATGTAACAAATTATTTTACTAGTATTATAGGTTAGAGGGTTGTTCTGACAAGATCAATAACACATCATTTGACTTTCGCTTACATGTAGAGTTTCAAATATATAATTTTTTTCTGATTATGTTTTTTAATTGACATAGTAAAAATTGAAAATGAGTAAATAAGTAAATGAGAGTAGAGATTACTTTGATCGATGTAGACACTGATATCCTCTAGTCTATTGAATAAAATGAAAGTTAATTTCCATGAGATATGAGCTCTTCTTACCAAAATCATGGGGAAAACATTAGATAATTCATCTAAATCTTATGTTTTCTATTAATTTTCATCCTAAAAATATGATTAAAATACTTAAAAATCGCTTGAAAACTATTATGTGAATGATTGGTTTCTTTTTTCTTCTATATATGTTGTATCCAATCAATGATTTTTTTCATCAGTATATTTGCTCTATTGGTGCAACGAAGAAGAAAAGAAGCACCGTCTAACCGTTATTATAAATGCGTAGAACAGTAGAACAGTAGAAATGAATAAAAAAAGAAAATGAATGAAATCTTACTCGTTTAGATAAATTTCAATAATAGAAGAATAATAACAATAAAATGCCAACGAAAGAGAAGAAGAAGAAGAAAAAAGGTTCGTTTTTGACTAAATTAAACCTATCCCCCCGATACATACATGGTGACGGAAATAACACATCATTGAAGAAAAATGAAACGTTTCAGTCACAATTATTACAGGTGTTCGATTAACAATTGAGTTAGAAAAAAAGAAAAAAAAGATTGTCTATATGATTGAAAAGAACAACACAACAAATTGATCTAACAAGATGGCTAAACGATCATTTTTTGTTGATGATATCCTATGTCAATTGGATAATGATGAAAATAATCGACATATTAAACATGTTCAGAAGAATAATTATTTTTCAAAAACAGATGAACAATGTAATTCAATCGATGTAGAACACATTGGCGGATATGATGCATCAAGTGATAACAGTGGTAAGAATGGTTTTTTTAAACTCTGTCTAGTTCATACAATAGTCAGAAAGAGATCGTCTCTCATAGAAGTGGTTTGTTAGAGTTTTTGATGATGTAATCTCTTGTCCTGCTTTCAGAAACACATCTCGAATATAACAGGAAAGTCTGACGTCTTATAGCCCCGTTAACTTCTTTAGCTCGATCAAAATAGACGCAAGAAACGGTTATTCCAATTGGGATGTCAACAGGCAACTATTGTATTGAAATTCGTCATTGTGAAAAACATGACACCATTGCATAAATTCAATTCCAACATAAGAAAGAGTATTAACAACTGTATCAGAATCTAGAATTTGTCTTCTAGTTTTACGACTTTTGTCGAAAAATATGTATTCCACATGAGATATAACTGGAAATTATATTCCGATACGATCTAATCGGCTGTGTCCACATTGTACAATGAGTCAACGGAGAGAGATATACTATCAAGGAAGAACATCTTTTGCGTAAGCTTCGTATTGTGTCACATCTTGGGTTCTTTTTCTTTAAGATCAAGTTAGATATATTTCTCCTCTGTATACTAAATGAACTCTTATTAGGAATATTACCTATTTATTCATTTTATTTCAAAACAGAGCCGGATGTATTTAGATCATACCTATATTTTGATTTTGATTCTCAATGTACTTGAGTTTTACAACATGATACTACTGATCTTATCTACAAAAATACTTTCTTTGGTGTTGAGATTCACATTTTATAATACTGTTAGCTAAAAAAAAATATTACCCAGTTAATAATGTTATTTTTGTTTAGATCTAGATACGTGTACATCAACATCGTGTCTAACAGCAATTAATTTGCGAAAAAATAAAAAGCCACGTAAAGCGCGAACAGCTTTCACTGATCAACAATTGAATTGTCTAGAGAAAAATTTTGAAAGACAAAAATATTTGAGTGTTCAAGAACGTATGGAACTAGCATCCCGATTAAATTTATCAGATACACAAGTTAAAACATGGTATCAAAATAGAAGGTATACAATCTCATACTGTTCGTAATGAAGATAAAATAATAAATGTTTGTTGTGAATTTTTTTCTAGAACAAAATGGAAACGTCAAGCATGCATTGGTCTCGAATTGTTTGCTGGAGCAACATTACAACGATGGATTCAACGGCAACCACTGTTGTATGGACGAGGTGCAGCAGGAAATTTTCCCTACTGTCCGCCGTTATCATTCAGTACGATGTCCTCTATTCTGACAGATTCTAAAAAAAATGAATTAAAATAAATGTTGTATGTGTCATTCTGTACATTATCTTTATGCTAGAATAAATTAATTGTTTTATTTAATTATTGTCTATAAACAAGCAAAGTTAAATCGTATAAATTTAAAAATTTCCAAGATTACGCTGCTTCATTTTGTACACTTCTTGTTCTATTGTCATTATTGCTGTTAGCGAAGCCGTTTAGAGAACACTGATATTATTCGAGCAATATATTGCACATTAAAAGGCGATTGATATATCCCTTGCATTAGTAGAAATTGAAAACTAGCTTCCTCTGAAGCAAGGCTAACTATATTCTTATCCGTAAAACTATGCATAAAACAAGTATGACGGTACTTTTCATCTTTTGTAAATAACTGAAAAATATACATTTAGGCGTACATTTCACTATTTTGCTATTTGGGATGTTAAATACGTTTATTTGCTAGATTGAGAGTAATGACGAGATTATATGCGGTATTATCAGCTGCGATTACATGAATTGCGTCCAATTCTTGACATGTGATGTGTGAAGGAATGTATCTAAAATAACAAATTAGATACAAGCTTTAATGACAAGCTTTTATAATATTTATTTGACTTTTCTACGTTAACAGATAAATTTTGCTGAACTTAAATATCTAGTAAGAAAAAATGAAACTTTTTTAAAATGATATTTACCGTATGGCGAAAGCACTTAAGCCTTGCACTCACACCTAACGCTAGTTAATCAAAAAGTTTATAGTCTCCTTTTATAGAAGCAATTCTAGACAAAATAAATTATGAATGATTTACATAACCTAATAATATCTCTTCAATCCTACACGGGCGTAACAAGTGGGTGGGGGTGAACGGAGATAATTTATTGTTTTCTAAAATATCTTTTTTATTTTTAACAAAATGATTTTTAAATTTCAAACTGGTACTCGTCAAAAAGTCAGAAAAAAATTGTTACTCGTTTTTATACACATTGCGAACATGTTTGCAGAAAAAAATTATTTTACTCTCATCCTAGTGAATGTACTCAGACAAGTACTTGTGAAAGTAATGTCCAGAGTACCTGGAGTTTTTGCAAGTAAAAAAGGTGATTATCAACTAATTTAACAAGTATAAGTACTAGATAAGTACCTCATCAAGTATTTGGCAGGTAACCTGATAAGTACTTGCGAAATATATACAAGTATCCGTCGTTCTTCCAAGTACTTGGCACAAGTAATTCAATAAGTACATGTGCGATTGAACTACATTTATCCTTTAAATAACTGTTCTTTGCAGTGTACACTTGTGAAAGACTTCTTGGAGACAGAGGAACTGGCGTCATCGTGTTACTCTAACTTTGATTTGTAGATCAACAACCAGATCCTTAATTTAAAAAAACTTCTTATCTGGTACTTTAATAGCCCTGAGTAATAGTGAAAAATTCTCTGTTCGGCATTCTCATGAATATTGGCTACATCTTGAGAATCAAAACTCAAAACTCTTCAACGGTCACTAAAAAGAACTTTCACTTCTGATCATCGCGTTACTGACCGTATAAACGTTGGAATATTTGGACAATAAGCAGTACTTTAAAACTTTTTACATCATATGCAGAAGTCATCAAGATGTATAAAATAATGCTAATTTATTTAATTAATTTGCTTTTACTTTTTGCTCATAGCTGTGAGAAAATAAACCTTAGCATTGAGAATTAGAGATGTGCAGGGCGCTCTTATCCTACCATACCCTACCCTGCCCTACAGGGTAGGATAAGGCAGGATGAGGGCTCCGGTGTCACAGGATAGGAATAGGGCTCAAACATTTTTCACAGAGTAGGACCAGGGATCCAGAAACAGCCACCAGGCACGTCTCTACTGAGAATGTGATATCACGTTCCCTATAGGCAAGCCGAGCAGTGTCGTCGTTGCCATTATTTTTGGATTACGATTTCAACGATGTTGCTTAATTATTAGTCGTTTTTATGTAGCAGACGGGCAATACCACATTACCAATACCATGCCTCCCTCGGATGCTTCCCATCACTTTCATTACTTAGAATAATGGAGGTTATTCTATAGAGAGAAATTGGAGGGCTTGCAACACTTGTTCGTCATTATATATCCTAAAACAGTCAAATATTGTGTAAGTTGTTAATGGACATGAAATACACTCATAGTAATGATAACAGTTAGCCAAACGGACGGATCCGTCATTGTTCTGTCTCCGATTGTCCATCATACTTCCTCTCATTATCATGAATGTGTCCGTAAAGAAAAATCGTGGTTATTATGGCTTGCTCTGAGTGTGGAAAAAAATTATTTATATCAGTTCATTAATGTAAAAGAAGATGCTGCAACATGCAGTGAGATTAGTCAAAAACTTAAATTATATCACAAATTGTTCTCTAATTCAAAATACGTCATAGTTAACTGAAGATTTGATTGCTGCTAAAGGATTCTTACTAAAATGAAAAACCTATATACACATCCCTTCCATCCATCTTCAGCCTGAGATGTATTCCCATCTATATTAACTGGATGAAAAGAAAGAATATCGCGTCATTTTGGCGGGTCGATGGATCCTTTCTCCCTGCTTAAATAAGTAGTCGAAAGGTGTTCTCAGCACAACTATTCGTATTCACTCAGTATGAGTGTTGACATGAGGACCAACAATTGATGTTACTATCTTTAAAGCATCAGTGATTTAAACGAAATATTCGCATTTTCACAGCCTCCCATCAACTATGCACACACTTTTCTTCTGAAAAGTCTGCGATGATAATAAATAAAAAAGATGCGGCCCAAAAGTCTGCTAATAGCTATGTGTTGGTTTCACTTGTATCGTACTCATACCACGATGGATGTCCATGTAAATATTTTTTTTAAGCTGCTGTTAATATATTGAGATTTAAATATTTTTCAATCGTAGACACATTATGATATATATGCACGATAAAAAAAATGTATTCTTCGAGGTTTTTGGAGAATTTGAAAAACAAAGAAATGTGAATTCTTCAGTTGCTCCATTAAGAAAGTTCCATTGTGGTCGTGCGTAATTATTTTACGGATCTACAGCATCATAATTAACCTCGTTTCTGATATCTTAAGTTACTATCGCGTGTTTGAACACCTCTGCCGCGTTTATTTATGTTTTGTACAATAGAAGACGCGCATCTGTAAGAGTCAACCTTTAGCGTAGTTATGACTGGTGAATTGATTATTTTATAACTATCGAATGGTCTGAATGGATCAGTTCACGATGAATCTGAAATATAATAATATTTCTTCGTTAACCGAAATGTCATGATTATATCAACACTACTCCTGACACGGAATGCGTCATAAAAAAACAGCAAGAAGATCGATGAAACCGACGATTGCGACAAGATAACCACTTTCCCGGTTGAAAGTCGCATATGAATCGGTTGGTTTTATGATTGCCGTTTGAAAAACTTCAGTTCTGACCGCATTAGCGAACGTTTTTTTTCTCTACAAGATGGGAGATAAACGCCTTTTTCTTCATGACAATAAATATTAATAACAACAAAGACGCTTCATTCTAGCAGTACCAGGGGCAATCCGCTGACAAACTACCTTTGTCCACTCAAGTCAATGTGCACACTTTAACGAATAGTTAAGAAAAAGATTGAACTTCTTTCCTTTATAGAAGTTTGATAATATAGCTAGCAGTGACGGTTGCAAAATAAAATGATGAATGAAACGCGACGGTTCTTCTAGCGGTTTTACCCATGCGGTTTTACCCATGCGGTTTTACCCAAGCGGTTTTTTTGTTGGAACCAGGACGTAAAGCAACTGTCGGTGAAAAAGTTCTGAAGCTCTCATAACCACAGTTATAACCATGAGTATGCAGATAACCGGCCAATGGGTGGGTTTTTTTTCGTGCCTGGGCCATCTTTCGTCTATAGTCTAAGAGTTTTAGCATAAAAAGATATGGTGACGTTCACGGAGCAGAGTTCTGATGGACAAGAGTTAGAACAACTCATGAGTATTTTTAAAAACAAAACGCAGTAGCGCCTAGTTTCTCGCGATTGTAAGCTCAACCACGATGCAGTGAATGTTTATGCGAAAAAGATACTCCTCCAACCGTGGTTCACCGAATTTTTATTCAACATTTTTTCCGTATAAAAATTCGGTGCACTACGATTGAGTTTACAACCACGCGAAACTAGGCGTTACGGGGCACCGGGTTTTCTTTTTAAAAAACACTCATGGAAAAAAAATATCATGAAGGACTGGTTACAGTGCACTTTCTTATAACGATATATCATTTTCACGGTGACATTATGACGAAATATCTACTGTGGATAATGGGGTGTTAGTTTGAATTCATCTGGTAAGTTTGTTGAGATAGTAGAACGTTCGATAATGACAATAGTGGTGGTTCGTTATCAAGTGATATCGAGAAGAGCTAGAAACATAATTAAATGATAAACATGTTAGATAGAGAATAATACAGTGAAATGTTCATAACAGCTTTGTAACGTCGCTGCTTTATTATTCATTTTATAATAATAAAATTATGCTACTAATTTTTTCACAACGTCCGATATAGAAAAACTAATTATGATAATTTTGCTTTCTCAGAGGAAAGAAGACTTATATGAGAAAACAGATCCTGCATGCGGTGTATCTAACGACGTTAATGAATACAATACCTTTAGTCACGATGACTCCCATTTTAAAGAGGGCAGTTGATTCTATATAGAGACATATCAGATTTAATTTTGAAAATTTTTTATTTTTTTCTTAAAAAGAGGTTAATAAAGGAAAGTTAGTAAGCTCAGGTTTTCTTGTTGGATCTAAGCGGATTGATTCCGAAAATGTATCAGATAAATGACATTGATAGACAGATCTGTCCAAAAGCAATCTTAGCTAGAGTACTAAACCGACAGAAAAAGAGAGTTTATAATTGGTAAAACTGCCTGTTTAACTACATTTATCTGAAATTGATTATGATCTCTACTCTAAGTCGTTTTGATTATGATAAAGCAAAGCTTGTGATTAATTACTGATTAATAGCAGCTATTCGAGAAAAATGTGTTTTGATCACCAAATTATTTATTCTGTCGAAATGATCACCAAAAAATAATATTTTTGATTATCAAATTAATTAACGAAACAAATAAATTACAATTATTAATCGGTATTAAGGATATGGATACTAAATCGGAATCTCACTTTCTATTCAAGTTTTCTTGTACTTGATGTTTATATATAAGAAAAATAAGATTTTATTGCTTCGATATTCGATTATTGCTTCGATAAAAGACCAATTTTGTTTTCGAATGTAATGCAATTCGTTGAATGGCATACATTTCTAGACAATTAAGTTATATTAGAATGAGAGCAATACTAATATCAAAATTTTCACTCATTCCATTTGCTTTCACGTATCTTTTTCTTTTAGCGTTATGTAGACGAAAGGTTCGAGTGAAAGTGTACGGTGTCATTCTGTGTACATTTCAGTACTCTTAATTTTTGTCATCTGAAATTTCGAAATTTTAGTGTCTAAGATCCCCTGCAGGAAATTGGAAAACTTTTTGCTAACATTTGGAAAACATGTTCTTTTTAGTTTGTTGATGTGAAAAACTCTAGATGATTTTTTCAGACAGAAAAGAAAGTTGCTGGAAAAAGCTTAAGAAATATCTGATTCGGTTCAGTTTCTCACGAAGATGACGAATATCATATTTATATTTTGAACGAAAAAAGCTCGACAAATACAAGTCAAACTGTAACTATTTTGCCATAATTCTTAGTTTTGAGAATCTAGGACATCCTTTTCCTGTTCAAAAAGATCATATTCAGACAGACCACACAAAAGTACGAACGTTGAAATCCTCCCCTTCTTATGCTTATGGTTTCCACAGAAAAATCATAAAACATTTTTTTTGTAGAATGTCCTCAATACTCGAACGTGAAAGATACTTTATACGACGAGTCAGAAAATATATTTGGCAACAGAATTTTTACTATTGAGCATTTTTTCGTAAAATGCCAATGTGTTTCATTTCTTGAACAAGCTATATGTCAACAAATTTTTGAAGATAGTTTTAAAGTATATCATAGAACCATGACGCTTGCCCGAAAACTATTCATTCCTTTTCTCCATCATACTTTTCATAGATTTGGTTCCTTTGAAATGGAAAGATACTCCCGCATACCGTGAACCATGGCACATTGATATTTACCTATGGAATACTATAAGAGATTCATAGAAAACCGTTTGTTTCTGAAGGAAAAAGGGATTTTTTTTTATTAAATTTCGACGATAGTCACTTTATCCTATTACTAGACTTCGAAAAAGGTTTTCAATTTCGTAAGAGAAAGAACTTAGACATTAAAACAACAGAACAAATCTTGTACAGAATAATAATGTACATAACGGGATGTGAAAAAAAAAAGTCCTAAAAATAATCGGATAAAAATGTTGTCCTCGTTCTTTTTCTGGTAAAACTCGATATTCGTGACAATAAAAGAATCCATGATTTTATTTCAGCTTCTATTCTTTCATTTTTTCTGCTACTACTATGCACATGAATAATAGGTATAGTAAATATTTTAAAAAAAATGTACATAATCCATTGTGTTTGTGAGAACAGTAGAGAAGAAGAAGAAAAAAAAGAGAGACAAATATTTCTTAATGAAAAAGAGAGACCCATATATATGTTCACATACACGTATAAATAGAAAAAAGTGTATAGAGTTCTATCATACTTATAAACTGACATTTTTTGAAAATGTAGTACAAAACTTTTTTTTTCAAATGTTTGAAAAAGTGTATACTTTTGAACGAGTAGAAGTAAGTCATACAAGAAACAGAAATAAATAGATGTAAAATGATTGATTATCATCCCATATCAATTCTAGAATATTTAATACGTGTATACTATGAAACTTGTAATACCATGTCAGATCATACTAGTCTATCCTGTTAGAGTGTATTGATGTTTTATTTTTCAATTTTCATCTATTTCAGATATCAACACCAAATCTATAGAAGAAGAAGAAAAAAATGACGTTATCTATAGGTTATTATTTTATTTTTACAGTATTATTACTGACTATTAGTACTCGACCAGTAGATGGACACTTTTTCAATTGGTTATGGCATAAAATAGAGAAAGTATTTAATAATGAAAAAGTAAGAACATTTTCTTGTGGTTTATCCGATTATACACAAATTATTCCATCAGCTATTGATCAACCGAGAATAACGGGTGGAATATCTGCTACTGAACACAGCTGGGTAAATCATAATTATTTTTATTATGATAAACGCGAATGTATTTATATATGAATTCTATTTTTCAATTTTAGCCATGGGTGGTCAATATTATCAATTTAAGATCATTAAAAAGTTGTGGTGGAACAATTGTCAGTCATGATACAGTAATAACTGGTAAACATTATTTAATCAGAAAATTTTATTTGTCATATTGAACTAACTGACCATGTCTTATTTTTTTTCTCTGAGCAAGTTCTAAAACTTATTTATCATATGGAGAACATAATCATTTTTCAAGAAAATATTTCTTTTTCATCTTTTTATATCTTATTCTTTTTAATAGCGGCACATTGTATTGTCGATGATATTGATATGATTAAAGTGATAGCCGGTGCTCATAATTTATTTGGTCGTTTAAATTTATTTAATTATTATTCGATTGCATCTTATATTATTCATCCTGATTATGTTAATTGTTGTGATTATGATTTAGCAGTGATTAAAATGAAAAAATCATTTGAACGAAGTGAAACAATTAATACAATATGTTTACCAACAAATAAAAATGAACAATTAAAAATGAATACACCTGCAATTACAGTTGGATGGGGTGGAAAATTTCATAGTGGTAGTTTAAATTCATTTGGTTCATTTTCATTAAAACAAGGTCTCGTTAATATTAAATCAGCTGACTATTGTAAACAAACATATTCAACATTTAATCCAATTGATGAATTGTGTGCAACCAATCTCGTCGATAATGTGGATGCACGAGGTAAGAAATGTTAATCTTTTATCGTAATAGAATATTTTTCTTTTTTTTCTTGTTGAATTTTTATAGAAGGTGATTCAGGAGGCGCATTAATGGTAAAAAATCAAACAGATAATCGTTGGTATCTGTACGGTGTAACATCACATGGATCGAACAGTGAAACAATAAAACCTGGCGTTTATTCATCAACTATTAATAAATTAGATTTCATTGATAAATATTTATAATTTAATTAAATATTAGTTGTTTATTTATCTGCTCAATAAATTTGTTATAATAGAAAGAAATTTTTTTTTAATAATATAGTTTAGTCTTAGTTTATAACTAAAAATATGAAAACTAAAAGAACATTTTAGTCTGAATAAATTACTCAATTTTTTGGATTATAAGTTCATCAAGTTCAACAGATCAACACAAAAGAGTCAAACTTATTTGTGATCAATATTTATTTCTATAATTATAAGTGAATTAGTAGGAGATACATGCGTTACTATTTCATCAATTAATATCTGCAAATGTCGTAAAACAAGATCGGTATAAAGACTGAAAATTAGAGATATTATTAGAATAAATATGATCAAAATCGTGTAGTATCGCTGGTCTGTCTAATCGATTCTAAACAGAATATCTTTATATGAGCAAATACTTTACAAGTTTCTATTTCAGCACTTAAACTTAATCTATTCATCAATGCTTTTCTTATAATCTTACAACTGATAAGCATGAATTTAAAAAGATATATTCTCATAAAAACTGGGAAAAAAATCAATTGGAAATTGGCTAAAATATTTGAATACATCGTTGATATTAGAGCTAATCACTTCAATTCATGAGTAAGTTACAACATTATCAGAATGAATACAAAAGAATTCGATATTCTTCTTCTTCTTCGTTTTTTGAAGCATAATTACTTGCTAGTTTATGTTTAAAGATTGTTTTACTCATAAATATCAGACAAATACTAGTGCAAAATTAATTCTTTTAATTGTAAACAACAAACGTGTTTATTACGACATAACGAAACCAAATGAGTATAATTATGATAATCATTGTTGATATCATCCAACAGTGATTTATGAATATATGATCACTATGTGGCTGTCTGAACATGCATTTACATATAAAAACTATATACATACAGATAATATATTATAACATAAGAGTAACTATTCTCATAATGCAAAAGTACAAAAGTAAAAGAGAAAGATTTATAATGAAATTGAGATACATTAACATTCGTCATAGAGTAAGTAATTATAAAAGATCAAAATGGAAGGTTAAATTATTTGAATAATCATTTTGTCTTATCCGTATTTTGGAAAAAAAATATGTCTCATCAATCATATATTGTCTTTATTCGAATCAATTGCTCTAACGTCAAGATTATTGATATATATATTTTTATTTATCTTCTTTTTTACCGAATTCTTGTTTAAGAACTATCATCAAATCATACAAAACGAATCATCAATACTTTATTTCTTCAAGACCTTTTATTGATTAACTATGATGTCAAAATGACTACCTTGTACTTAAAAATATTTCTTCCGAAGGATAACTTCAACTAAAATATATACACTTAAACGTACCAAGGAAAGGTCGACATTAATCTGAGTGTGTACAAGAACGCTAAATATCAAATTTTCTTGATCATTTCGTTTTTTTTATATCTATATTTCTTTCTCAACTTAGAAGAAGAAGAAGAAGAAGAAGAGACTTGTCAAGTGTTATTTCCTGTATATATTGATAGAAAAAATAAACAATTTTTGGTAGACAATCACTCTGCATGTTAAAAAAAAAGAGAAAAACGCTATTATTCTAACAGATTACACCATGATGTTCAATTATGTTCTCGTTGTTGGGTTTTTTTTGTAAAAAATACATGAAATTCTTATTCTTCCACAATATGATAATTAATAATAATTTTTTCTTATTCCTATGGTGTATTTTGTTTAGACTTGGACTTATGTTGTTTTGTCTATTATCGATGGATAATCAATTGTATCTCAATAGAAAAAATCATCTCTCATTCTCTTTAAAATTCTCTTCATCCACCCTCACCTTTCCCAAATAGAATTATACCATCTGTTATTTTTTGTAATGTATTGTGAAAGAAAAAGAAAATTATGTGTATATGGAAAGTTTCTCAGTTAATATCATAAATGATTTTTTACATATAATTAGACAAGATATTAAAATGTAAACAATACTCGATAATGATCATGATGATTTAAATCAACACTTTATCATTGTCAAAAGTAAGTAGAGTATAAAACACTTTTCTATGAGATCAAGTGAAGCGATGTAAAAAAACTGGAATTTTTTCCGGTAGTTACCTGAAAAGTAGTCCTTCTTCTTCTAACACCATTTTAAGTGATCAAAATCATCTGATTAGACATAGACGGGGCCGTTCCGACGAGACTGAGATCGGGATCGTGGACAGAAAAGTTTTTTTACTGGAATCGGGACCACAAACTTTGTTTCGTACACTAGAAGTAAGAGTTCTTTTGATAGTTGAGTAAAATCAGCTAAAACATGACCTGTTCTTCATACTTAAATAAAAAATCGTCAGGAAGTCTTATAGTTCGATCTTATGTAACTAGGCCGATTAGAAAACTCCTGGACTTTTCAACATTAACAGAGTATTTTTTCCGTGTGCGCAGAATTGCTTTAAGGGCCGGGATCAGATCAGGGACCATAAAAAGCTTCCGGGATTGGAACGGGGCCGAAATAACTTTACGGGACCGGAACTGGAAGTGGGACTGAAAAGTCTTACTCCCGGCCATATCTACATCTGATACAAGAATTTTTTGTTCTTAGTTTTTCCCATTCTATAACTTTAATTTAACATTTTTACTGTTGACCTGTGTGTAAATCAAATTAAGCGTTTCGAAAAATGCCATAAATATTTGAGAATTTATTCTTGATAAGTAATTTGGTGTACAAATCGTTCATATGGAACTTAATTTTTATTGTTCGTATTATTCACATAATGAATCTTGTCATGAAACGTCTCTCAAAACAATAATCAATTACATTTGAGATGATTTTTGTTCGTAGTTAGTGTTTAGCATAATACATTGTCCGTAAAAAATTGATCTCAGTGCAACGATCGCATGAATTGTATATCTCAAAATGACTGTGACGATGTCGCGTCATTTTCTAACAAGGAATATACGTTTAATTAAAATTTTTTCATCTAAACAATATAAAGACATGATATAAACAATGTTTGAAATTGTACAGAATATGAAGAATAACCATTAATTATTAAGAGTGTTCAAGTGAAGAAATCACTTAAACAATTCTCTTGTCTACGTAATGTCATTTCCAGATGGAGAACTAACTTCCATTCAATCGTTCAGTACATGATAAATATCGAAAAGATCATCCTTTCTTCTCTTTTGTCTATGTCTCTCATCTCAATAAAAGAGAGAGAACACAACTACAGTGTTGATACTGAACACATATGGTCAGTTTTGATTAATGCTTAGCAGAGAAAGAATACATAGTCATTACTGATAATCAGTTTTGCTTCTTCTTCATTATAGATACGTGAGAGGTATGTTCTTTAGATTTTTTTTTTGAACAGACTCATTCTGTTGCCTGTTGTTATCTGATTTAATACAAATTATACATGTAGATAGGCTGTTGACAGAAGAAAAAATAACAACGTCTGTCCGATTCTCTTCCTCTCTTCTGTAGTCAAAGAATAATAACCTTCATTCCGTATCTACCATTCACTCGATAAAATTTCACTTTATATCAATTAAACGTCGTATATCTATCACAGTTTTCTCTTAAGGCACATATGGCTGCTAGTTAGTTCGTTCTAAAGTCAATTAAGTAGGTAAGTTATGACTCGTCTAGATATTTATATTAATTGTTAATAACACCATGAGGTTAAATAAAACATTTAAAGCAGAGTATTTTCATCCGTACTTGGTACCTCTCACACATCTTCCCAATAGTTGAGCATAAAATTTTGTAGAATGATAAACTTTATCGAGCTAGAAGAGATGTACGCAACGCACTTGTTGATATTACAGGTATGCTTCGATTGATCGGTCTTATTTTTCTATGTTTATAACCAATCGTAAATGGTATCTTATTAGTGAGATATTTTCATAACTTCAGATTATTATTTGTCGCATAATCGATGCATAACAAGTTGTTACCCATAAAAACATAGCAGCATATAAGTTCATACAATACGACTTTTCCACTATCGCAGGGACGTCTAACTTTAGGATTTGAGGCATAGCGCTCCATCTGTTCTTTTGTACCACTTATAGAAGTTGCATTATTTTGGATGATACAAAACGTTTGCACTATCATCTGGATTAATCAACATTGGACGACTGCTACAGTTTTGAGTTTCTCCAAACTCATTCCCTTCGTTCAACTGTTGAACTTCAAAATGACTGTGTATATCAGAGATTTTCTTGTAACTATAACTTTTTCTTGGGCTACTTTTCGTAAATTAACCCTTTCTTGCCCTTTGGTCCCTATAAGGACCATGTTATAAAAGTTTTATTTTTTTTGAACTAGAAGGCTTTTAACGAGTTATCTTATGTCACCTTTAAGAGTAACTATCGTGGACTGTATAACAAGAATCTAAATCTAATCTTTATCCCTAAATTAATTTTTCATGACGCTTGTTAAATACATCATGTTATAACATGCACTATAACC